TGTTTATTTTGTTCTTTAGATTCTACATACAAGTGAAATCACATTACATCTATCTTTCTCTGTCTGACCTACTCTGCTCAGTCCAATACCCTCCAGGTCCATCCTTGCTGCCACAAATAGCAAGAACCCATTCCCTTCCATGGCTAAGCAATATTCCATTGTATATATGTACCATTCATTATCCATTCATCCACCGATGGACACCCAGACTGTCTCCACATCTTGGCTATTTTAAATAATGCCGCAATGAACATATGGATGAACATGACCCCTCTCAGTAGCATCTGGGTTTCTTCAGATAAATACCCAGAATTAGGATTACTGGGTTCCTCTTTGTCTCTTGTTACAGCCTTTGTTTTAAAGTCTATTTTGTCTGGTATAACTATTGCTACCCCAGCTTTTTTTTCCTTTCCATTTCCATTTCTATGAAACAACTTTTTCCGTCCCTTTACTCTCAGCCTGTGTGTGTCTTTCAATCTTAAATGAGTTTCTTGTAGGCAGCGTATGTAAGGGTTTTTTTCTTATTCATTTAGCCACACTATGTTTTTGATCAAAGCATTCAAATCATTTACATAGAAAGTAATTGTTGATAGATATGCAGTGACTGCCATTTTATTATTCATATTTTTTATTTTTTATTTCCACCACTTAAAGAAGTCCCTCTAACATTCCTTGTAATACTGGTTTGGTGGTGATGAGCTCCTTTAACTTTTTCTTGTCTGGGAAACTCTTTATCTATCCTTCAATTTTAAATGATAGCCTTGCTGGGTTGCAGATCCTTACTTTTCACCACCCTGAATATTTTGTGCCAATCCCTTCTTGCCTGCAAAGTTTCTGTTGAGAAATCAGCTGACAATCTTATGGGAGTTCCCTTGCAGGCAACTAACTGATGTACTCTGAATGCTTTTAGGATTCTCTCTTTGTTTTTAAACTTTGGCATTTTAATTATGATGTGTCTTAGTGTGTGCCTGTTTGAGCTCATCTTGTTTGGGACTCTCTGTGCTTCCTGGACTTGTATGTCTATTTCCTTTGCCAGGTTAGGAAAGTTTTCAAGCATTATTTCTTCAAATATATTCTCAATCCCTTGCTTTCTCTTGTCTCCTTTTGGTACCCCTGTGATGCGAATGTTGTTATGCTTGATGTTGTCCCAGAGGTGTCTTAAACTATCCTTATTTTTTTTTTAATTCTTTCCTTTTTTGCTGTTCCAATTGGGTGTTTTCTGCTACGTTCTTTTCCAAATCATTAATTCAGTCCTCTACTTCATCTAGTCTGTTGCTAATTCCTTCTATTGCATTCTTCATTTCAGTTATTGTATTCTTCACTTCTGACTGGTTCTTTTTTATGCTTTTTATGTCCTTTTTTATGCTTGCTATCTCTTTGTTGAAGTTCTTATTAAGTTCCTTGAGCATCCTTACAACCAGTGTTTTGAACTCTGTCTCTAGGTTGCTTGCCTCCATTTTGCTTAGTTCTGGTTCTGGAGTTTTCTCCTGTTCTTTCATTTGAGATGTATTTCTTTGTTTCCTCATTTTGGCTGCCTCTCTGTGTTTTTTCTATGTATTATGTAGGGCTACTATGTCTCCCAGTCTTGCTGGGTGGCTTTATGTAGTAGGAGTCCCAGTGGCACAGTTTCCCTGGTTACCTACTCTGGGTGTTCCAGGGGTGTCCCTTGTGTGATTTGTGTGTGCATTCCTCTTATAGTTGAGACTTGATTGCTATTGGCATGTCACTAGGTGTATTGAGCCTCAGGCTGACTGGCTGTGGGGTTAGGCTACATCTACAGCTTATTGGCTGCTGTGTGAGGGGCTTACCCCATGAAGCAGGATCCACCCCAGTGGGCTCTGGTGTCTGTTGAGACCGTCCTTTGTGTGTGACATTTGTGGGGGTAATTGTGCGGTGCTCTGCTGTGGTCTGAAGCCAACCTCCAAGTATGTTGGTTCTGGGGCCTCTTGGGAGGGGCTCTGGTGCAGGGTCAGGTCAGCCACTGCCTGTGACTGGCCAGGGGGCACCTGGTAGGAGCTACAAAGTGATCTGCAGTTGTTCATTGCCTGTGACAAACCTAGAGGATGTGGGAGAGGTCACACTGTGAATCAAGGAGGGCTGCCACCAGTAGCAGGTCTAGGGTAGCTCCACAAAAAGCCAGGACACTGTGAGGCCTGCTGCCACCTGCCTGCTTCTGGGTTTCTATAAGTTTCAGCTACTGATAAAGTCCCTTCGAGGTATGCAAGTTGGGTGAGGCAGGGTCTCAGTGAGTCAGCAGGTTGGAGTAGCAGAGCTTACCAGGCCAATCAGATTCAGGTTTGGCCTTTGGGGGCAGGCTCACACAGGAAAGATGGAACCCACCTGCCAGCTGCACAGAAGCAGGGCCCTACACAGGGAAGATGGTGACTATCTTTTAGCCCTTTCATGAAGCCACATACCTCAGTCTGCCCCCATATGTCCCTGATGCCCCCCGAGTCACTGTCTCTCCACCAGAGCCCAGGGTGAGTGCTTGCATGGCCCTTTAAGAGAATATCGCGGCTCCCACAGTCTTTCATACCCTGATGGTCAGAATCCCCACTGTTTTTCACAGCCAGATGTTGTGGGGGCTCCTCTTCCTGGCACCAGCACTCCAGGCTGGGCAGTCTCATGTGGGGTTGGGGTCCCTCACTCCTCCAGGGGGAACCTCTGTGACCAAGATATCCCTCTCAATTTTCATCCACTACATGGAGGTTTGGGGCCAGCCTGTTTCACATCCCCACCCCTCTTACCAGTCTTGATGTGGCTTCTTCTTTCTATCCTTAGTTATAAAACTTCTGTTCAGCTAGACTTCAGATGGTTCTCTTGGTTGATTGTTCTATAATTCAGTTGTAACTTTGATGTGTTCATGGGATGAGAAAAGCACAGTGTTTATCTACTCTGCCATCATGGATTATTCTGGTAATTGGGTTTTTATGTTGTTCATTCAGAAAACATCTCTCGATCCCTGACTCTGGGCCTGGAAGGTTAGTAGATGCAGGAGACAAAATGAATCAGAACACATTTTTTGTCTTAAGGAGCTCAGAATGCAGAGATCCATATTTAGCTAGTTGAATGGGAGTCCTTCTCTGCATTAAGGGTTAAATAAATAAATTTGGTGGCATTTTCTCTAGATAGAAAATTTATTGTAGATTCCCTTTATTTTCCTCAACTGTATCCTATAGCACACATAGATTAGCTTAAAAGCTAGGTATCAGCTAAAGAGATGGATTTGGGGCAAATAGAAGATATGATTTAGACAGTCTCTATGTCTCTCTTTTTTCATTTCTCAAATTAAGTACATAAGTATTATGAATTTTGTCCTCTGAGTATATTGGGTCGTTGGAAAAGTCATGACGTATTTTGTCTATGTTTTTCAAAGGTCATTTATTTATATAAAGAACAAAGATCAATCAATGATGTATTGCCCGTTTTGTTCGATAACCTTTTGACATCTTTCAGTGAGCTTCATAATTCCTCGTTCATAGAAGGACCTGTCTTTATTTGCAAAAAACTGAACAAGATGCTGATTTACAGCCTCATCTGAATTGAACATTATACCATGCAAGGAGTTTTGAAGAGAGTGAAACAAGTGGAAGTCTGATGGCACAAGGTCAGGCGAGCATGGTGGGTGTGGCAACACATCCCATCCAAGCTCCAATAATTTTTGATGGGTGGTCAAACTTGTGTGTGTGGTCTCACATTGTCACGATGGAACACAACTCCTTTACAATTAACAAGCTCTGGACATTTCTGGATGATGGATTCATTCAAACTGTCCAATTGCTGACAGTAAACATTTGAATTGATTGTTTGGTTTCTGGTAGGAGCTTGAAAAACACAACACCTTTAAAATCCCACCACAGTGAGAGCATAACTTTCCTCTGATGAATGTCTGCTTTGGATGTCGTTTGAGGCAAATCATCACGTCGGGACCAAGACCAATTGTGCACCACATTGTTGTAAACAACCCACTTCTCATCACCAGTTATCAGTCACTTCAAAAAAGAATCATTTTTCTCATGTTTAATGAGTATATTGCAGATGTTTATATGCGCCATTCATATGAACTTCTTTGAGTTCATGTAGCACCCAAATATCGAGCTTACTTACGTATTCCATCTTCTTCAGGTGGTCGTGAATGCTTGAATAATGGATGTTCAATGTTTCTGCAATCTCTCGTGTCGTGTTACGTGGGTTTGACTTAATCAATGCCTTTATTTTGTCGTCATCAACCTCAGTGGGCCTCCCAGACTGAGGAATATCGTTGAGATCCAAATCACCAGCACAGAATTTCATGAAACATCGTTGACACTGACATTCTTGTAGAGCATTGTCACCGTAAACTTTATGCAACTTTTCACAAGCTTGATATGCATTCTTCCCTTAAGGGAAATAAAACAGTAAAATATGGCAAAAATGCACAATTTGGTCTTCCATCTTCAACTTGTAAAATCTCCAAAACTTAACCAAATCACTCATTTTTTTTCAGAATGAAGCTAGAACTGTCAGCTGTCAAATGACATAGCAATAACATAGATGCGAATGACTCTAGTACATCTAAAAATGAACTTGTGCCATCTGTCGCAAACATGCATCATGACTTCTCCAACGACCCAATAGTATTAATACTTTAAGTTTACACAACTGGCTGGGGTATCATATGTGATATTTTGTACGTATAAATGGAAAATGAATGCATATTATTATTTCTACTTAAAAGTAGAACATTTCAGAATCAGCTTCTGATATGCATATGAGAAGTAGAAAGCACACAGATTCTTGTTCAATTCTGAAGTTTTCTCATCTCTGTGTGATGACAGGGTGTAAGATATTAGATTAGTTGAATCTTTTAATAACTGTTTAAGGAAGGTACTATGGCAATGGAGTTTTTATTAAGGTTCCTTTCATATGTGTAAAATAATTGAGGTGTATATAGTAAATACCTCTTTGGTTAAGATGCAATATAAAAAATACATATAGATCATGATATTTTCTCTCTGGTTCCACAAATTGAGAAGAGCAATGACTTCACTCAAATAAAACAGGTCAAAATCAAGAAGCTTTTGATGGTGGTTTGTATGATTGATAAAATTTTGTCCCAGATTCCTGTGTGACCCATGGACCCAGAAACCCAGTAATCTCTATATAATCAATTTAACCAGGTGTTTAAAAGGAAGTAATAAGTCACATTCACTTTATGATTAACATAATATAAGTACTATAAATATTTTCTGGTAACAGATAGTTAAGGAAGAAATTTTTAGTTTTTTTGGACTAAAACAGCAAAGTTTGTTTTTATTCGTCTTAAGGTCTTCCAGGCTCATTATAAAAGGAATCTACTTCAGCAGAGCTTGGCTGTTGCTATGGCAACCAAGCTCACATTAAGAAGATACAGGAAAAAAAAGCTCTTGTGGAGACTGCAAAAGTATGCCCTTCGTCCCTGGTGGGCCTGGTGCTAGAAGATATTTTTTGTAGTTCACTCATCAGCTCTGTGTGCAATAGATGTGAGCAAGGTTGACTCGGAGGATACAGACCTTCAGTTCAAGTACAGCTCTCGGAGTCCTTAGCATTCTGGGTCCTCTCCCCCAGCCTGGGAAGGGAAGCTGAGTCAGGTGAGAATTAAGCAGGAGTGGTCTGCATGTCCCTCAGTAGTATTGTTTGCTTATCGCTGCCATGGGAATCAGGGTTGGAGAGGGGAAAAAGAAAGAAAACAAACATAAGGGAAGGTTGCAGTAAAGCTAAATTAAAATATGGCATTAACAGTAGATAAGTAGTGGACTCTGGAGTCAAGTGTGAGCATGGAATTGGGTGAACAGGTTTTGGTGCTTAACACGAAAAGATGACTTGAAGAACTTTGAAAATACCACTGAACAGTGGCATGTAGTTTAGGATATGATAGAGCAGACATGAAGAATATTTTAAAACAAACTTGCTTTAGGCAAAATAGTGAAAATTTCCCAAGCCATCTTTAACTCTAAAATTTACCCTTTGGGTTTCTTCTCCAGTGTCTTCCACCCAATGTTGGCTACCCAAGACATCCTCCCTACCTCTCCTATTATGATGACACTTAACCTTACTTGCATTCTTCAAGAGCAGACTATGCTAATTAAGGTATCAGTTACCTAATTTATGTTCCTGGGGCAAAGTTAGAACATCTTTTCCAACTAGAGAGCATGCTCATAATTTAACAATAGTTTTCTATTACACTAATCTGAAAGACTGGTATTGCATGTGCTTTCAGTCAAAAAGATTTGAGTTCAAATCCCAGTTCTGTCACTGACCAGTTGAGAGACCTTTAGGTAAATTATTCAGCCTCTCTGAAACTTAGAACAGAGGGGCTCACTAAAATCATGCTTTCAGAGTTGTCATAAGAATATAATGATATCATGCATTTATTTTTTTATTTTATTTTATTTTTTTAGCTGAGCCATCCTGCCACCTGTTGGCAGCTCAGCGGCTCCTCATCTCGGGCTGGGACTCAAACCGCTGTTGCTCAGAGCTCGCACTCTTGAGCAAGCTCTTAACCAACTGAGCCACTTGGCCAGCCCATATCATGCATTTAATACACTAAGCACAGTGCCCAGAATGAGTACGTCAAGTAAACGTCAACAAAGTTTACTTCCCTTCCCTCCCCTTTTCTTTCTTTCTAGCATGGACGATGGAGGCTGTCTCGAGGGGTGAGGAGAGGGGAGGTGAACTGTAAAGATCCCTTCAAATTACATTCCAATGGTTTTTCTATAGATCCTCAGTTTTTTTGAGCCAAAAAATCAGAATAACCAAATTGAAGAAATAGAAAGCTTAGGAAGAAGGAAACAGTTAAAGTGGATTTGTGTAAGGAAATGAACAAACGCAAAGAGGTAACCAAGGCTCTTCTTTGGAGACCTGGAAGACAAATTGAAGAGACTTGTGGTGGGGGCAGGAGAAATGGAGGCACATGAGTGTGTGTGTGTGTGTGTGTGTGTGTGTGTGTGTGTGTGTGAGCATGTGAGCCTCCACATACAATACAGGTGACAAGAATCAACAGAGAGCCAGTTGTTGGCCATGTTGAAGGGATTTCCTTTCTGTTTTTCTGTGCTCTTCAACTCCCACCATCCTCCTTGCCCCCTCTTCTCATCTCCATTCAAGAGCCTGGGTTTCCAGTCTTCACTTTGCATTTACAGAATCAACACAGATGGACAGACAGATGCACACCTGTTTCAAGTAGAGTTGACATAAGAGAATTTGGTTCTGCAAGCCAAGCCTTCCAGCTAATTCCTTCCCTACCAACTAGGCCCATGCAGGAGGGGCCACTTAGAAAGAAACACTGTCTCCATCCCACTCCCACTCAGCTTCCTGGCCCTGTGCTCTGCCAGCCTCACTGGACTTCTCCTGGCTTCTTTAGGGCCTCAGGTTCTGTGTTCTTTGGCCTGAACTTCTGGTCAGTGCTCTTCTAGCCTCAAGGAATAGAACCTCTCTCAAACTAGCTCAAGTTAGGAAGGGAGTTTGTTAAAAATATATAGAGAATGGAAGGAGAGCTGGCTCTGGGTGGTGAACACACAATGTGATATATAGCTGATGTATTATGGAATTGTACACTTGAAACCTATGTAACTTTACTAACCATTGTCTCCCCAATAAACTTTAATTTTAAAAAAATAAATAACAGAGAAACTCCTAGAACCTGAGGGCATAAAGTAGAGCAGGGCCTCATAGGAAATGGGAACTTGGAGCTGAAAAACCGTCAGAAGCCGAGTGTACTCTCTATCCTTTCAGTGCCCCTTATCAACGAGCTCAACCTATCTCTCACACCAAAGGAATGGTCCTCAGCAGCCAGGTGTGTTTAGAGTAATGGGATAAGGGAGATATGTCTGACATAAGGACTTGCACATCTAAGGGCCAGCAATCAATCAATGTTTTCTCTCTCTAATTTGACCTAAGAAGCACAGGTAATTACTGTTGTTTGTGGTCTCTGGAACTGACACAGAGCAGGTGGTAGCCAAGATGGGTTGAGAACGCTAAAACCTGCAGAGAGAAATAAGAAAATGAAGCTGTTACAGCTCAGGGAGCAAACATAACTGCTTAAACACATTTCTTGGGCTTAGGGATTGTGGGTAGGAGTTGTGTGTGTGTGTGTATAGGTAAGATGATCCTTTTATTATGAGGGTTTTTTTGTGGAACAACACCCCACGTAAGTTCTTATATCCCTGTCAGAAATGTAACTCAATAAAGAATTAGAAACAAACTTAAACTAAAATTTGAACCAAGAGCAACTCAATGCAATCACCCCTCCTGGAGGGTTTGTAGCCAACTGCAAAAGAATGAAATGACTGTCGTGGGGCGTCAGCTTTAAGCAAGTGGAAAGGCTTAGGTTACAGGATAAGAATGTGGGCTGGGCTTCTAAAAAGTTATTCTACTTCTCAGTAAGTCTGACAATATTTTAACACTCAGAGCTTTTTTTTTTTTTTTAAAGATTTTATTGGGGAATTGGGGAAGGGAAACAGCCAAGTTGATGTCCTTCAATCTTAGTTTTGGAGGGTGCAGCTAGCTCAGCTCCCAAGTCCAGTCCCCATCCGGTTGCCCATAGGCAGCTCAGGGCAGCTCAGCTCAAGGTGCCGTGTTCAATCATAGTTAGGGTGAGTGTAGCCCACCATCCCATGCGGGAGTCGAACCAGAAACCTTGTTGTCAAGAGCACATGCTCTCACCAGCTGAGGCATCCTGCCACCTGTTGGTAGCTCAGCTTGGGTGCAGCTCACTGGCCCATGTGGGAGTCGAACCGGTGACCCTGTTGCACAGAGCTCGTGCTCTTAACCAACTGAGCCACTCAGTTGGCCCATTTGTTATTGTTGTTGTTGTTGTTGTTCCAGACTAGCTTCTAGATCTCTGAGACTTGAATTGCCCAGGTGCTCATTTATCCAATTTTGGAAACATATCATCAGTTGTATAAAGAAAGCAGGAGTCCGGATCTCTCCTGGGCGTTCCCACATGCCTGACTCTGTTAAGCACTTAGCACATGCCATTAGAATCATGGGTGCACTTGTGAGTCTCCCTAGACTGAGCTTTGTGGGCACTGGGGCCTCTCTTCATATAAGAATCCAGTTCTATGTGCTCAAAGAGGGTCTGTTGAGGGTGAAGACCCTGAAGTTATCTTCATTACATTAAAGATGTTCGAAGGTATCTTTACATATTATTCTGGGCTGCTCAGCCTAATTAGTCAAAAAATAAAAATATTTTCTGTTGTAGTAAACCATGAATTTAGCTCTGTACTCCCATCTGTGCCTAGTGAAGTTAGGAAGTCACTTTAATCCTGGAGTTTCTTGAGAGTTTGGCCAGACAGGATGAACATTGGCCCCTTGGACAGTTGCAAACATAAAGCAAGCAGGCGTTAGTTGCTGGCAGTGTGATGGATGGATTGGAATGTCCTTTGACTCCAGGCCTTGGGGGAAATAGTTACTTCTTTAGTGTCAGATACTAGGTGTATTTTTCTTCTTTGTTCCTCCCTACCACATCTGACACTCTCATTTACTAGTTTCCACAAGCTAAGTACAGGTTCAGAGTGGATGAGAAAGGAAGCAACTTAAAGTCAGTGATAGTATCCCATTACCCTTTCTATACTGTCCCCCAACCCCAATCCCTTGTATGTCCCTTTTATACAGCAAGAAAAGGGTGGCTGGTATATAGGACATAGTTGTATTTTGTTGAACTAATTGGGTTAGAAATAAAATGTTGCTACAGAGGGAATCCTTACTATTTGCTGGAGTGAAGTAGATATTGCTTCTTCTTTTAGGAGGCTGCTTTTGGACCTCTATGCGTCTCATATTGGCTCCTGTAGACAGGACCAACCTGACCGTGCCAATGGGCTGGGAGCCTCATATAAAAATGATTATGATGCTCATAGTATCATTTAACAATAGTTGAACACTTACTACGTGCCCACACTGCACTATGCCCTTCAGATATATTATTTAATAAAACAATGAAGTAGGGTCTACTACTATCCCCATTGCACTGATGAAAACTGAGATCTGAAGGGGCTATTTGCCTCTAGTAAATGGCAGAGCCCAGAGGTGGCACTCTTGGGACTGGCCCATGACCCTGTCAGCATCCCAGTGGGTCTCATTATCAGCAAGGATAGCTGGAAAGCAGAAAACATCTCTCAGTAAGGAGTTTCTGAGTTCCTGTCATATTCTCAGTGTTCAGAAATGAGTTTGAAAAAGAAGAAGAAGGGGGCGGAAGAGGAGGAGGAGGAGAGGGACAGGGAGGGGGAGGGGGAGGAGGAGGAGGAGGAGGGGAAACAGGAGGGAGAGGGGGGTAGGAGAAAAACAATGATCTTGTCAAAAATTTTAAACCTAGTTGGGTGAATTGATTGATTGATTGAGCCAACATATACTTATTGAGATCGTTCTACTAGGTGCTGGGGACAAAACAGACATGGCCACTGTACTGATGTGGCTTACAGTCCAATGGTCCAGTGTGGGTGGGGGAAGGAACAGGCAATAGCCAAATCTACAAACATACAGATAGAGCTTGGAGTGTAGTGAAAGGAGAGTCTAGTTGAAAGGAGAGTCTAGTGGACAGGAACATTCACGTTGGATGAGGCTGTCAGGAAAAGAGTCTTTGAAAAGATAACATTAAATCTGAGACCTGAAGAATTGGAAAAGCAGGAAATGGAAAGAACACCTGCAAAGGCTCAGAGGCGGCAGAGTCTGTCATGTTCAAAGAAGTGTGCAGAGCCAAGTGGTTGGACCACAATGGGGGACTAAGGAGGAGAGGAGTAAGTGACTGTGAAGAGATGGTCAGAACACCCATTCCATGGGGCCTTTGGACTATGGAAAGAAGTGTGGATTCTATTCTAACAGAATGATGCTAAAGGGTTTTAAACATAAAAATATAAAACATATATTTTAAAAGCTCATTTTAGGTGTCACATGGGGACTGGATTGGAGAAGCAAGACTGGAGGCAAGTAAATCACTGGGAGGCCCTTACATTGATCCAGGTGGGAGACACTGGGGCCCAACTGTGTCTTCCTTGGGTCCAAATGGACCCAAGGGAGCTCTGAAGATGGAGAGAAGTGTGGACAAAATTGAGAGGGGTTTTGTAAGCAGCCAGGACAGGATGTGCGTGTAGGTTGGATAGCGACAGGCAAGACGAGGAAGGGATTGTGGAGGCTGCCCAGGCTGCTGGCTGGAGTAGACTATGTGTTTTCAAGGAAATTCAGGTTTCAGGGTGATTCAAACATATCTCCAGTCCTGCATTGAATGAGGGTGTCACCCAAAGATGGACTTCTCTCTGGGTCTTGCAAAGTGATAAGGGATTGCTGGGAGAAAGGGGAGAGACTGAATGAGCAGAGTGGTTTGGGAGACAGGAAGGTGATGGGGGACCTGACTAGAGCAGGGGGTATGTATTGGGATGCAGCAATCAGGTCAATTGGGACCCGGTCGGGTGAGGGCTTGAGAATGGGATTTGGAGATACACGTGGGCTGTGTTCTTGCTTGTAAAAAACAAATGATGATAAAACTGCCCTTCCAAGTTGCTGTGAGGATTAAAGGAGATAAAGTCAATCCTATGCTCAGGACTTGACACAGAGGAGATATTAATTAACAAGCTATAGCCATTATTATTATTGTTGTTATATTTACATATATTATAGTATATGTAACATATATTATATGTTATACGATATGTGTGTGTGTGGGGGAAGAATTGAAAGACAAGTGGGAATGTGGATTTCATATGAGAGAATATGTGTTTTTTGCTGATGACATTTTCTGAGAGGAGAAGTGGTCCATTA